TATAAGTTATGATTTATCTTCTTTTGGATCTTATTCAAGCCATATTGCAGCCTTTGTTTAGAAAAATAGCTGCTGCTCTGCCAGGAATGGCAACTCATTCTTCCACGAAACAGGAAGATATGGTCGATGTTAATTTGAAGCCGTCTACAAATACATCCCAGACGGAGCAACAAGGAGGTGGCTGCGCATGCTAGAGAGTGTACATTAGGAGAAGGAAGGTGACGAAAAAAGTTGGAAACTTACCCAACACTTAAATGCGTCAAGCTAATTATTGGGTAAAGTTAAATGTTGGGTAAATTTCCAACTTTTTAAGTGTTTTGAGGTTGCAGCAGTATCAGCAAGAAAGATTCTAAAAATTCGAAATCGCAAGTGAACTGTTGAATTTCAATTCGGGCTGCTAAGTTCATAGGTCTAGAAATCGAGTTTTTCATTAGCGTGTTGTGTTCGAATTCTATGAACGACGGGTTTATTCCTTCACTTCTACTTACAAAATTTTTGAAAGATTTATGTTTGCATATCTGCTCATTCAATTTCACTCTTCGATGGGGTTCTAATCACATTTTCTTCACAATACTACTTTGATATTAGTCATCCTCGCAGGGTGATCGATCTCCTCGCTAACACTGGATTATATGAGTCCATGTTAGTTCAAGTTAGCGACGCTTTTAGCTATTGAAACTTTGCCACCGAGCAGAATGGCACTCGTAATGCTCATGCTCTAATGGTTTAAAGTCTTCTCACTTTGCTAACCACTGCTGCAGGAATCACTTTTGCACGTAAGTAATGGGAAATGTATGGACTCAATATGATAACAAATTTTCTTACACGTCTCTTTTCTTTCGTAGAATCAACCTTGTTTAGTTTACGGAACAAACTTACCCCAAAAGAAGCGAGTGATTTGTGTTGAGCCTTTTCAGGATAGTATGTCGAAAGAAAATATAAAGGGCACTCAAACGCCCCCACCTATTTGTATCAACTCATTCCCTACATAGACAAAGTTAAGGGACAATGCGAAAACTGCCATTCCCTACATAGACAGAGGTACGGGACAATGCCAAAACCGCCATCTCTGTTTAGGTTGTCGACTAAGGATGGAGTTGCCGGAACAAAAAAAACAAAAATCTAACCAATTTAGACGATGCACAGTATGACTAACAATTAGGCTAAAAAAAAAAATTCAAATAACCTTCCCACAACAAATTTGCAGAAATCACAAAGAATGAAACTGGAAATTTGTATACAAAAATCAAATGAAACAGCTAGTGTATGTACTTCCAGACTCTCAATTTATGTACATTGATGAAATATATACACCAGAGAAACAAAAGCAAAAGGAATAGAAAAGACAAATAGTACCTAACAGGATTCTTTCACAAAAGTTCGTAAAAGTTGGCATGACAAAAATACGCTAAACATTACCAGACCCATCGCCAATCTGCCTCACTCTTAGTGTCAGATATATTAGGATTATCGTTCCCATAATAGATCTGCAAAATAAATAAATAAATAGTTAACAAACTAACCCTTATTCACAATAAACTTGGAGTTAGCTACATAAATCCTTTTGGCCTCTCCGATCAGATACATCCAATTTTTTATTATTTTTTTTATCAATTACTATAACAATAAAGGATGATTTTAACAGTTGATAGTGCACTGGATGTTTTATTGTTTCTTTGTTCAATTTATTTTACTTTGCCTTGTGCACTTGACCCATCTCAATAATGGAGGAATTATTTGGACCGGTAATAAAATTGAAAAATGGGGCTATTAAATAAAGTGTTTGGTAAAGATTATGCTTACAAGACTGAGAATAGGAGAACAACTCGTCTTGAATTAAAGGAAGCAGAACGCTTGTATTTCCTTGATCTGTTAG